TTGAAGACATGGCGGTGCGACGAACCTTCCGCCCGTGGCAGTAGGGGCAACATGATGTTGGGAGGGTGGTTTCTAGCATGGGGGGACTTCAAGGAATTGCTTCGGCATGTAGATCAACTGCCAATAGTTCACTTCATTGGCACGGTCAGTCATGACAATCGAACAGTTATTCTGTGGCCAAAGGTACTACTGGCGCAAGCCGCAATGGTCGTTGCGAAAGTGATGGCATCGGGGCGGATACCTGGTCAGCTGTGGATTTTGCCAAGATTTTAGGAGTTCATACAAACATCACATAGGGATCCTGTGTGACGCGAGCTCATGTGCGCCTTATTGCCTTGAAGGTTGGTGGCTCAGGTTGAAAGAGTGCCAATCACGTGCAGCACGCAAAGGAATCAGCACTGATCCATTGAAACTTCAAAAATCGAGCATGCTCCTATTTCCGTCTGAGGCAGCACAGAACAAAGCCCTCAAACGTGGATCCGCTACCCAGCCATACCCAGCCGTTATCCCAGACTACACGACCCAACTGACAAGAGCCAACTGCTGTGCTGCAGAATGTGGGTTACTTACAACGTGTTGACTAAGTTTTGGATGCTGCTACATCCGTCATTAGGTATTAACTACCAAGCGGACATCGGATTCCTTGTGAGACTTCCCATGTAAGGACAAGGCTGCGCCTGCCGACTGCAGTTCAACTTTGCACAGAGTAATGAATGTATACGTTTTCATACTTTCCCTACAAGTCCTGACATTTGCATCAAGACCCGTGGACTGCCAAACTTCGAGGCATTGCATATAGTATAGCCTCTGTCCTACCAGCCCGGAGCAAACCAGCCTCCTCCAAAAGCACAGAGCGCCTCCAAACATGCGGCAAACATATGCAAGGCTGGCAAATGGGTGGACGTAAAAGGGGCGGGCTTCCGTGACAAAAGTCTTTTGAAAAGCAGATGTGCCCCTTAGCAAGAACAGTTTAGGGGTACTTTTGAGAAAGCCACACTTCGAAACTGCCATCATAGGCTAATAAAGGCGTTCAAAGGCGCGCATAATTGCCGTGCCAGAATGCGTGTTCCAGGCACGGGGATCAAACCTCTGCTACTTGCAGCCAAGCAGGTTGTCTTTTCGTCGCCACATGCGTATTAGACTTCCGTACAGGACAAGCAGCTGCTGAACACCTTGGGCGTTCGCATTTTGTAGGCATTGTGTAGAAGCGTAGGCCCAAGGATCCCGCAAATTGCAACGTACCATGAGTCCAAAGTGTGAGCCCCTGATGTGGGCCTCAATCTTGGGTGTGATACCCAAGATGAAGCGATATGCACCCGAAACAGAACCTGAAACCCATTCACTGAAGTGCAGCATTTAATACATGCACACCTACTCGGGATCGTTTCCTGGCCATGGTCAGAACATATGGATTCTCCGTTCTTCCTTGTTGAGAGCATCCGTATGTTCATGTGGTCCTCTGGGTCCTCATATTGTTAGAGGGCACCTGCCAGGCCGAAAACCAGGTAAGGTAAGCTTGTCTTGAGCTAAATTGCATGGATACTGTGGTGTAAGGAAGTCGCCTTCTGTAGTCGTGGATTGTAGGGTCTGTTTACAGCGCCGTGCATACCTGATAGCGCAGAATGCTGTGATAAGATGCGTTACTTCGGCTTCGAACGACACTTCATCCCACCAAGTCGGTTGTGGGTAGGTGGGGCGTCTACATTTGCATATGTAACGTAATGCAATTTACGATTAAAATTAGCAACGCGCACCACCCTTTACGCGAATGTGTCCATGGCATGCGGTGAGTGGTGCATGATATGATATGGCTGATCAGACAACAGGTTGCATCTCTAAATCTCTGTGTCGATGTGCCGGACACTGAGGTTGTAGGAGTGCTCATGGTGCGTCGTTACAGCAGATGAGAGCTACTCAAAAATCTCGAAACGGAGATGAGGAAAGCTTTCACACAAACCTGTACACCGGTGTGTAAAGTAAGTACAGGCCTTTCATGCTTAAAACGCATGAGCTGAATAGCTCGCTATAGGGTCTTTTTCTGGGCTTTTTCAAGGAAGATATCCTCAACAGAAACCCCAAAAACAGAAGCATGCTTCAAGAAGCTACAAAGACGGCTGGAATTGGTCCTGGGCATGGTGTGTCGTCTGGTCCGCTAAGCTTGTGCTGTCATGCAGGCAGCTGGGAAAATTTTGCTCAGAAACGAACCGGTGAATGGCTAACGGGAAGTAGTCTAGGCATGTGTGGGGACTAACTTGGGATCCATCCCCTCATTCTCAGTATGTTTGCTATAAGGAAAAACACCATATCAACCAGTCAACAGCACGCATCTATCGGTATTGCCTGGGTCAGGGAATTCAGTGCGTGACGGCAGTAGATCCTCTCACGCGCTATGATGTACCGCTGCTCTCATGAGCACTGAGAAGCGCTCAAGCATTGAACCCCAGTGCAGAGCCTACCAACCAAGTAAACAAATCCGGCAAGCAAGAATGCGTCACAGGCAACTTACGGTATGGGAATCGTATCCTTGCAGTCCCAGCGTGCGACAGACATGACAGCATCAGAGGCCCTGCTGCTTCACAGACAAGGCCTTTTCTAGTTCCGAGGTGGAGGCAGCCTTGAGACTAAAACGGATAATATGCAGCCAATGATGGCCAGAGAGGATTGTTTTGGGTCTTGTGACGTCACTCCCGTGGAGAGACCTAGCCGCATGAAAGCTTGAGGCATCAGCTGGAAGTTAGCACCTCCTGAACCTCTTGCGATGCGGATGTCCCAAAATTATCGACTTCGAACATCCCCACCCTCACCTTTCTTCCATTAACAATCTGCACTATGCTTCAGCAATGTTAGTCTAAAGGTTGCGCCGGCCTGCAGACATATCAGCCGCACATTCCAAGCACTACCGTTGTGGTGGCGAGGTGGATTGTGTGAGGATTGGATTTTACGTAGATATGCCTTGGGGTTGGGCCCTCCATGACTACCCAGAAGTGGTTCTGCAGGAAAAGATTGGGGCTCTGCAGGGATTTGGGTTGGGCGTGGGCAATACTCTGATACTTTCTGGTTGGTCTCTGCAGGGATACTCTGCAGTTCCGCGCTGCCGCGTTGCAGGGATACTCTGTGGTTGGGCACTGCTGGGATACTGTGCAGGCACTCTGCGGTTGGGAACTGCAGCCTACTGCAGGGATAATGGGTGGAATGCTTGGCGGTTGGATACCCGGCGGTTTGGGCACTGTGTAGAGGGGCGAGCGAGAACATAGACTTCCTAAAATCTAACAACCCCAATGTGAGAGTGGGAAGCAAGGCAGTTGCAATTCGTAAAAGCCTGGCCCTGCACATTTGGAAAAGTAATTTTGAGACACCCGCTGGGCCAAGCACCTGGCCCTTGCACAAACGATAAAAGTGCCTCCGTCAGCAATTGAGGGAGCTATCTGTCCCAGAAGGGTGCACATGCGGATTGGGTGCCAATCCTTGTCCCTCAAGTCCCTCCTACAAGTTACAGGATGATGAACGAAGGAAGGTCCCAAAAAGGGGACCGGATGGGACCTGTGTGTGGGCCACACTGTGCACTCAGTTTCCTGGTCCCCCCTTAGGAGGAGTTGGAGTTAGTGAAGATGCGGCTGGAAAAACTACCCAGCTTCAGAATTTCTGGATTAAAGCGCATCTCGTAGCGACGGGCGAGGTCCGGGAAGGCATCCTCAGCAGAAGTGATTCTGGAACTTGTTTCAAGCCCTTTTGCAAAAATGTTCTTTGCATGATATTTGGGAGTAGAATATATTTGCTTAAATGAGCCTGCGTGTGTCCGAAGATGATTGCAACAATAATTCACAATAAAGCACTGTAGAGCAGCACGCTACTGAGGATGAATGTTCTACTATAGAGGACAACGGTAGTGGAATCATAGTTTGCCATAGGCTCAGAGCGCAAACTACCATTCAAGCTCTCTTCAGCCTCGCGCAGGTGTGCCCACCAGTTCGTGTAGATTGACTTGGATCACACTTTCCATGTTCCTTCCTCAAACATCCTGTCAAGACATTATGGCTTGAGGGTCCAGCCCAAATAGACCAACAGATCATGAGAGACACCAAATCGCAGTTGTATCAGACCTGCTACTGTTCCCTGACATGCCAGAGCTGCAGCTAGCTGTGCAGCATGAGGCTGCGTACCTCTTGTACAACCTATTTATGCGAATTGGCACTAGTTGCCACCGAGGCTCGTGAGCGATGTGCCTCATAGGCCAAAGCATCAAGCAATCTTTACAGGCGAACACTTGGAGTGCTGGGTACAGGGCTGTGCTGCATGCAGTAGCAGCCAACAATCAAACAAGAAATTGTAAAGTGATGGCGGTGGTGGCCCTCCTGCGTGCGTTCAGGATTCTTGGCTTAAGGCGTGGATGGGTGCGGGTTCCAGCTTGTTTACGCAAAGGACTACGGACCAAAACCGATGTGCGATGCTCCCTGCTTCCTAACAACACTGGTGCTCTGCTTCAGTTTGTTACATCCACACTGGCTAATGGAACCCTGTCTACCTCCCTGCACCTGAGGCACCTGAAGCGCTCGCCACCAAAAACCACAGATTTGTGAACCACACTCGTACAGTACCAGTTGCAGTACTAACGCTACTGGAGTCTACACTCTATACTCTACACCTGCTCCTACACCTACTCCTACTCTCACTACTACTAGTGCTGCTGCTGCTGCTGCTACTACTACTACTACTACCCGCCCCCCACCTCGGCACTACGTTTTACTTTGAATAGATCATAAATTCCCCGAGGAGGCGGCTGCTAACAAGGGGCCATTTTGTAAGGGCTCTACGTGGTAATCTCTTTGTATATTATGGCACTGTTGCTACGTGCGGGCAGAAACGATGCACGAGCCCGAAATTGGTATTTCGGACGCCCGAGTTTTCACCTGCGCGCTCTCGTAGATGCGCGTCTGAACGCAACATCGCCACGCTGTCCGCGCGACTGGACTTGTTCGCGGATTTGCCGCGGCAAGCTCATCCTGGCGCCATTCCCAGCAAAACTGCTTTTTGCGGTCGTCAGGCGTCCACCAGCGGCGACATCTTAGTATCACCTTTCCGTGGTGCTTACCACTCGCGTGCGCTAATGGTTGCTGCCCGGACCTAGCAACAGTGGGTTAAAGGGGCCATTTTGTAGGGGCTCTACGTGCTTATCTTCCAATGTTATGACATGGATGCAGGCTGCCACACCCAGCGCAATCGCTTATTGCGGTTGTCGAAGCTCCACCAACGGCGACATCTCTGAATTACCAACCGATTGAGGTTTGTTTGTACGGAACTAACCCCCCCCACCCTTTTCCCCATTCCCAACGCATCGTCCTTACAATGAATTTACGTAAACGGTAGTGCCTTGGGGGGGCGCCAACAACAACAACAACTACTACTGCTGCTGCTGCT